CAAACAAAATATCACGATACTACACAGTATCGATTTTTTCCCCCACCTCTACTGATAAAGCAACTCATTCCACCCTGACCAACCACTTTACTGAAAGTAAACGATGGAGAGGAGTCACCTGTGAATCCCATATGCCACAGGTCCACACAGCTTCAGATTCAGAGTCGTTTTTGGACACGTTCTGACCAGAGGAACCTCGTCACATTTTTAAACATATCATAGAGGAAGTCCTCCTTTTATGTAAGTCTACACATGAATTAAAGAATTGGAAACTAAAATGTATTATTTCCCTGTTGTGTGGGGGGTGATATTAAGCAATACTACCGGGTAAACCGGTACTAAAGAGGCATCTTTGAGTGACGCCAATCCACGAGGAACAATCTAGACCAGTGGTGTCAAAAGGCTGGCCCCAAAGGATCTGATCTGCCTGCGCAGAGGAACCTCCCCGGCACTTTCTCTCACTTTGTAAAGCTATCGAGACAGAAAATGACACTGAAACACGATTTCAACCACAACGGATCAGAGGTGTCAGATGCTGTCCTTTGCCACAGACTGGCATAGTCTGGTAAGGAGAACACAGAGGGTTCATCGGCTGGGTATTTGCTGGTGCCCACTCTAAAACCAGTAGGATCCAGTAACATTAAAGGCTTTGTGAAGGGTAAGAAATAAACCAGTCAAGTTCCTCTAGACGTTATTGCTACAGAAATCACACCAACATCTGCTAGCAATGGGAAAAGCTCCGTCCAAGCTCAGTGCTCCTTGTATTCTTACTACTTAAAAGTCACTCGTAATGTTATGCAACTTAAAACAGGATAAAACAGGTTCTAACCACACAACTCACATTTCAAGTGTTATCACAAAACCCATAACACACAACCACCACTCAACTCTGATCTCAGTTTCCTCCAACTTGTTGTGGTTGTAATCTCGCTGCCAGCTGGAAGCTATGCTCACAGAGCATCATACTGCCATTCCTGTTACCACTGGAAAGGCAAACACCCTGGAAGTCACGCAGAACTCAGGGGAGCATCCCAGTCATCCTCAGGCATTCCCCAGAGCTCCCTTTGAAACCTCGCTTTAAAAAAAACCCATGTAAATCCAGTCATAGCACTACCTCTGTCACTTCTGCTTTTCACGTGTTTCTTACTTTGCGTTGTATTTTAAAGGACACAAAGACACAAAGGATCCTCTCTTCTTGACGTGTGGGTCACTCACCATGGGAAATAGTTGATCCGTACCCTGTTCTTGTAAATCACGATTCCAGCAGACATCACCCCAAGGAGAATCTCTGTGTTACTCTGGTCCTGAGGAGAGGAGAGTGGGACAGGTGAAGGAGGGCGTGGTAAAGGTGGAGGCAGGTGGGAGGGAGGAGAGTAAAACTGGCTTCCTCAGTTTTAAACTGAGCTTCATGATTATAGCTCTCATACGCACTTCATACTTTAACTTTAATTCTGCCCGTCACATTTAATCCACGCTCGAGTCCCGTTTGTACATCCCATAATAACACAGCTGAAAAATCACTGCTCTCATTTCCTTCAGCAGCTGGAGCGCCACTCTCTACTGCCTCAGTTAGAAATTACAACGGGCTAGAGCAGCTCTTAAGTTAGCATAGGAGTGTTTTAGCTCGCTGCTGTGAAGTGACACTACATGAATTTAACAGAATGCAGATGAATAGTCAGGAAGCTCGTGGATAAAAAAGAACTGCATCACAAATACGGATTAAATGCTGGTTTTCCTGCTCTGCTTCTATGTGTTGGTGTCATGATGAGAGCTGAATGCCAATGTGTGGCATTTCTGCAGGGTGTGGGCATCAACATCAGCTGTACACGCTGCAGCTCCACAGACCTGATCTCAGTCCCAGCACAGACGTGATTGGCTCTGTAAAAAACAGTGTATGAACCACGTTGTGACAGCGGGAAAGAGGGAAACCTTTTACAGATTAAAACGTTGTGATATCAGTTTTGAGCACAACGGCTGAGGGTGGGTCTGGACTCTGGATTATCACCTAACTGCTCGCGGTTGTTGTGTGGGGGGAGGGGAAGGAAGCAAGACGGCTAGAGTGAGATCGCAGACAGTGGACATGTCTAACAGGCCTCCGAGCTTTGGTGGAATTAAAAAAGAAATAAAAATGTTGCAGTTGATGAACCGTAATGCTGCAGAAGCAAGGACAAACTCTTTGTAACACAGTCTTTAACACACAGGCGTTAACAGACTTACCCTTGCATAGTGCAGCTCTACCCCATAGAGCTCCAGCGTGCGTGCTGTGTTCAGATAATTAAACTCTGACTCGGCCGGAGATAGACCGCTGAGAGAGAGAGAGAGAGGGGAAAAAAATAAACAGAGTGAGAGAGGGTGAAGCAGCCGTCGGGAGGCCATGCGGAGCAGCGACGACGACACGGTGTGTGTTAGACATATGGAGGCGGAAAATACACAAAGAAAAGCAGCAAACAAACGAGCCAGGCAGAAGGAAAAGGTCATTAAACCTGCAGCATGTGAGCCATATGTGCGCTTATATACAGTCTTACATATTTCTACTGTATTTGGTAACACCTTATAATAAGGGTCCATAACTAACAGTGTAACACCCCTGTAATCAAATTACAAGCAATTAAATTTACCTACAAACGCTTAAAGGTTGTCGTAACCAGTCAGGGTTTGACAGGAAACAAAGAAATAATGATACTGTAAGTCTGCTCAAGGATGCATGAGTAATTTTAAACATTGCATAACTACAGGTGTTTTATAGAAACCAATTATGATGCAAGTGATTTTAAGTATTGCATCATTTCTTGATAATGCTGCAGAAGAACAAACAATATTTCCCCATCTTCCATGAAGATTACAATGTATAGTGAGCATGGCAATAAAGTGCTTTAAAAATTTCTAGCTTTTAGGTTCTTGTAAATGTGTCTTTGAAATGCACTTACTGAATATCTTTTAACCCGTTTTCTCTTCTATTCTTTGTTCCTGTGTAATCGATCGTTTTGAAGCCATAAAAAGACAGAAATCCATCGCGACTGTACTCTAAGGTTCAGTCTTATGGATTAACCTTTGCTTAACCTCGCCTAACTTCCAGGTACATTACAGAAAAGCAGAAACTCCTTTCTGTACACTCCTTTTGTGAGTTTAGTTTGAACAGCGATTATGAAAGAAAAATAAATGAAGCTAGATCTCCAAAGGTTCCTCAGCCCACTGAGGAAACAATGGGCTGGGAGGGCTGGTTTCAGTCATTATTCGACTGTACCTACATTTAAGAGTTTGCAGGTAAATATAAATAACAATTAAATTTGATTTAATTACACGGGAACCACGCCCTTAGTCGTGGCCCGTAATATACAGTATGATGGTGTAGGTGCTGAAAAGGAAGATAAAGAACCGATTTTCGATTTTCCGCCTCCACATGCAGGAAGCTGTACCAAATCACAGGTGTGTCATAGGGTGTCTCAGCGTACCTGTGCTGCTGGTGATGTTTGGCGACCTCTTTGTGAAAGTCTTGAGGGGGGTTTGAGATAAAGGAGTACTCAGACAGATAGCCCGGACTATGCTCTGCTTCACTGTAGTCCCCCAACTCAGCTAGAAAGAGAAGAGAGACGCAAGTTAGGCTTCAGGATGTTCAGTTTTTCCCCATTCTTGGCTCAGACATATCCATCTGTGGGAGTGGATATATCAGTCTATTGTCAACTAGCCCCACCCAACTGCTGTTGAGAGGGGCAGCCAATCAGGAACAAGTTGGCAAAAGAGTTTGTTTCAAGACGAATAAGTATTTTGAACACTTAATCATGCAAAGCTACTTTGGTGAAGTCACTAACTCTAAGTACTAACTGTGCACTTAGTTCTACAACACATCAGGAGGATGTTTGTTAATAACATCAGATTCCTCGTGATTTAATAAAATGACCTCATCATTCGACACGTAAAATATCCTAAAGTGACCTTCTTTTCTGTTATATACACTGTCACAATTGGGGTTTCACACTAAACACATTAAACTAAGTGTGTGAAGAACTTATGCTCTGCCTCTGAGCTCAGAAACCCCGCCCACCAGATGTTTCGATATTCTGTCAGGAGGGGCAGCCAATCAGAAGAGCAGTGAGAGAGTCATTAAAGGGAGAGGAGCTAAATCTGCTAGTTTCAGACAGAGGCCGAACTAAAATACTGCAATAAGCCCCAGTAAAGAGCAAATGTGAAACATCACAGAGTTGGAAATGGGAATAGCTGGCATCCTTCAAAAACAAAACATCAGTAACAGATGAGTCCAATAATAACTGTCAGATCTCTGATAGCTTTCAAAGCGCTCTAAGATGAAGAGCTCAAAGTGAATCCAGCGAGCTCACTAGGTTAAAACCATCAATTCATTCAAGCAGTCTCTCGACTAACCTGGTGGTCAGAGCATATTGACCAACCAATCAATTCTAGCTCTCCCTTTTATTGATGTGTACACACCACCAGGGACGCGTGCGTGCGGTCAATAGCTCTCGTTTCATATAGTAGTTTAAGGTTAGTTTTATTTTAAGCTGCAGTTCTTTCTTTACCAAGGTTCAGCGCGAAGGTCAATGAACCTCAAAGACTCGTCAACCCAATCTTTCTTTGTGGATCCATCTCTTGATGTGAAATCCATACTCAGCTGCCGATTGGCTCAAAGTGGGAGATACTAGCTTGAGCTTAAGGGTCTTATAATGATGCTACTGATGATTTTACTCACGTTGCGGGTAATTTAATACAAGTGTGTATATATCAATGTGGATACTTGTGTTTGTACAAGTTGCGGTAAGATTAGGATGATATTCAAATTCTTTTGATCTTTTTGGTTTTCAGGCAGTCATTTTTTGCCTTTTTTTTTCTTTCAGAGCTTTGGAGTTGGATTTAGAGCTGTGAGTGCAGCATTTGGGCTGAGCTAACTGAATTAGCAGCATAACAGCTGCTACGAACAGTTTTTCCCCAAAAGTGAACATGTATCTTCATAATCTATGCTGGCACCGAGCGACGTGCCAACACGGACCTAGCTACACTCTGTATCTGTGTGTGCGTGCGTGTGTGTAAAAGCAGTAGCAGTGTGATTCAGCTAGACTAGGCCAAATCTGCTCTGTGACCTACATACTGAAGCTGAGGATATTCCCAGCAAAACATGTGATAGAGGAAGAGCGCTGAAAGGAAGAGGGAGGCAGAGTGGAACGAGGTAAGAGAGGGGGTTTATGAGCGCATAAATCGGTGGAGGAGGGGCTGAACATCGACTGCAATGGCCTAGTCTGCAGGTCTGCATAGTAATGAACAAGTCGCAGTCAGTGGGTTTTACAGTTATAGTGGTTAAATGAGGCTCCAGAACAGCTAAAGTAAGGCACAAGGTGATCACATCAAGCCAAGTGCAGAAGTGGATTTAACAGATCTGATTAGACAGAAACTTGATTATTATTTAATTTTTTATATCAAATTCCCTTAAGAGCAGCTGGATTTGAAATGCTGTTAGTGACCGAGTCGTATGTGCTTTATTGCATAAAGCTTGATTTACACTTGTGTGCTGAACCTCTGCTTTGCTGTTGGCAGCAGAGCATCTGCATTGCTCTGCCATCACCAGTGAAACCGAGCTAACTGTGTTGAGCCTGAAGCTAATAAATATTGAACAACAGCTACTGAAATGCATGAAAGGGTGAAGAGACTGAGTCTATGCACGCATCACCAGAGCAATGAAAACCAGAAAATAGCCTGGTCCCACTGGCGTGTAGTGTACTGACTATTGCATCAGCATTCTAAGCTATACAGCTGCATGCTTCTATTTAATGGAGTGTGCTAATACGTGTTTGCTGTATATAATACCACCAAGCTGACCCGTTACAACTGCTGCAGCAATACATTGGCACATGACACTAGAGGTTTCAATCCTGAGTGACGGCCGAGTAGCTACAGGATCCACGCCAAAGTTCTGTTGAATCCATCGGTTGCTTCCATCCAGCAGCACCTTGTGGGACGGTCGAGAGGTAGAAGATGTCCGAACCACAAAGCAGATATCAGACGTTCCTGTGTTCCCTGGTTGGCTTGCTGAACTATTCTGGGTACTCCAGAGTTAAATCCATCCAACCGGGCTCTGAGGCTCTTACTGAGTGGCCGTGTCTCGGAGCCATGCAGTGTTACAAACATGGACATCGGCTTCTCTGGTGACTGAACTGTTTCCAGTGTGGTTTCCGTATAACCTTCATGCCTCCAGCAGCTCGTCGACCATCAGCTTCTGGTTTAAGGTCATCAGTTTCTCAGATGAGGAAACTCGGTATGAAATCGCCACAGTGTCCTGTCCAGTATCTGGTATTTCTCACAATTCAATTAATTTAAGGCCCTCTTTAAAATGGGGCCTCAACGGCGTCAAAAAACACGCTCAAAGAGCCTAAAATGCTCTCACACGGCAAAGTGAAAATCTCCTTTAAAACTGGGGCAGCACATCATGGGAGAAGGTGAAGAAAGAAAAACCTTCAGGTAAAACATTTCATGTTGAGAGTCTAGTTTATATATTCTCCCCGTTTGATGCACCCACAGCGTTTCAGAGCGGACGGAGCTGGTGCCGTTGCAGAGGAGCACCGTCACAGCAGGCTTTCTCACCACTTTCACCTCCGCATGTTATTTATGAGCAGCCATTTTTGCAAAGAGAAGCCACAACCTCATCGAATATTTATACCACTGGTGTTAATATCAAATATCAGCACGTGGCTTAATTGAAATGTAAGGGCTTCAGAGCAGCAGTTATAAATGCACTCATGCAACCACAGTCATTACATTTAAGAGCGTGTGCAGCTAAAGACAGTCCTAATGAATTGCCTTTCCATTGTTAAGTAGAACTGGAGCACCGAGGGAGCGCTACTTACATTGTACGGCATAGGAAGCCAGCAGCGCGGCTGTGTTGTGAGGACAGGGCAATCTGGAAGTTGAAGGAAGACGCGCACGCACACACACACACACACACATTCACACAGATTAAACAGATGTTTCAGCCTTGGATCAATACAAAAGTTATTACAGTTCATTTCAAAGAGCAGAGATTAGTTATCATCAATAGCAGAAATGTGGAGGGGGAAAAAAATCTATTCGAGTTTGTGTGAAGAACCAAGTAAGAGAAAGTGAGCCTTACATTCACTGACAAAAAGGATAATGAGCGTGTCGTGAGTGCTTGTACGACTGCCCAATGAGCCTACGTGCGCTGCATTAACTCATATTTCCTCCAGTCACCCACATCTTGGCTTTAAAGCAGGACCCACTGTGCAACAATCAGAAGGCTGCCTGAAAGCAGAGGTGTCAACCTCGATCTCACTCACGCACAACGCCATCTGATCTATGGGGTCGAACAAATGCAACCATCGCATAATAACGCCCTGGTTTTCCCTCCACGAAGAAGAGGATGCTCACCTGTGCCGATTTCTCACGGTTAATGAGCGTTTAATGAGAAAACGCACAGAAATGAACGCAAGGTGACTTTTATTTTTACCTCCGTGTGTTTTTGGAATTAAACTACAGCACGATTTTTACATCCTTCATGATTTAAAGAGCTTGTGTTGATCTACAAATATTTAATAATGAATTCACGACTTTCAGAGGGCCGAACTATTCTCTTTGGCAGGCCGGACCTGTTGCGCGACCCACATGTTTAACACCCCCGGCTTACAGGTGAGTGGAACCTTAAAGCGGCTTGTTTCAGATGACCTACGCTGCTGCACCAAGGCCCAGTAACATAAAAATACGGATTAACTGTAAGTCATGCAAAGTTACCCTGGTCAAAAATAAAAACATGGGAAATGCCCTTTAAAGCGTAAGCTTGTTAAAAATATCTGCATAATGGTTCTCATGCCGTAAACACACCTGTATGAGTGCATTTGGCCTGAGGCAGAATGCTCCACCTAGTTGAGTCAGCAACACTGTGTACACAAAGAACAACACACTCACCTTCCAGTTAATATATCCTGTTTGATCTGCAGAAAATACTGGTACCTGAGGGGGAGGAACAGAACATCAGGACAAGTCATCAGTGAAACACCAGCACAGCTGCAGTGATACTGTCATGTAAGGACGAGCACACAGCACCGGCCTGGTGGGAACATTATCACAGTTACAACTTCACAGTTATAACTTCTGCGGGGTGGATGTGAAGTGTGTGTATATATATATATAGTTTAGGTTTCAAACCCGAGCGTGAAAACTGTTAAGGTTTTTCTGTGTACTACACTGCTGTCAGGAGTGCTTGTTAAACGTGACTTGAATGTACAATGCATCAGACGGGCATGTCAGATCCAAGGCTCTCTATTCACTTTTACAAGCTCTGTGCAAAACCGAGATAAGGCTCAGAGAGGCTGAAACGATCTCTGCAGAGCTGCGATCGCTCCTCTGCACGTACACAAAGCAGACAGTGGATTTGCAGAACATTTTATCTTAGAAAAAGATGCTTTTTAAAAAATATTTCTTCATCTGCATTAAGAGAGAAAATACAGCTCAGATCCAGAGAATCAATTTGCTGTTATTGGGGTTAGGGTCACTGTTTTTAAATCTTTTTATTCTTCATGCCAGAATTTTTGAAGAATCACAGAAAAACTGATGTGGGCAACCTTAAAAAAATCTTCAACTGTTTATTTCCTTCACTTAAGATCTACATTAAACACATACGTCACATATTTTGTACAGATTCACTTAACAGAATGACTTTTTTTGGGGGGGTGGGGGGGAACTCCGGGACTGTACTGATGTTTCCAGCTGTGTGGGTTCAGTACAGGTATCTTTTTCCTATTACAAACTGCACACATTGTTTCCCTTTATTGGTCTGCAGCCAGGTCAGATTTACTAAACGGGACAATCTAGCGCTCATAGATCGCTTCATTTCAGCATCAAGCATCAGAGTTCCCACCTTTTACACACAATCAGATCTGTTTTATTTGTTTTGTTTTTTTTAAATGCCAAACCCCAGTTTGGGATGTCCCAACACGTAAACCTGTCCCTAAATCTTCTGGACAAAGAAAATCTCTTTCTTTGCTGCTCAGACTGAAACACTTCAAAGCATCAAAGTTGACTTTTTTTGCATTAGCGTGTTTAAACACCTGCTACTACAAGAGCTACTGATGGTGTGTGTTTTATTGATGCTGATGCCATTACTGACGACTGACCCTGAACGCAGAACTAACAAATCTACAGAAACACCATTTCCATTGCAAAGCTCCTGCTCACAGAGATCACTGCTCCGTTTCTGAATGAAACGACATCAATACAGCGAGTTCAAGTTGCTCTGCTTTGATTAGCACTTTCTGTGACGCTCTGTCAAATGACAAAAACACTTCATTCATTGTGAGGAGCGGATCTCGTTTACAACTGAGCCTTTATTCCTCTGTTAGTGAACTTTAATGTCAGCGTTTAACAAACCGAGTGGTTCCTGCTGTTCTTAGCCTGTCGTGTTGTTAGAAACTCTTACCGTGTGTATTCTTCCTGAAGTTTATTGGGGTCTGTCACAAAGAATTTGACTCTGAAGCTTAAGTTATGGGGAGACCCTCCTGCAAAAACAGAGACGAGCAGTTAGAGGGGAGAAACGCTCATCGGAGAGTGTCGGTCTGTGATATAAATGAACATGTGCTCTCTATTCAGGGGCTTCTTTAGGAAACATTATGCATGTGTATTTTTGTTTAGTGATGCAGATAATGGGATAATTAATAATAAGTGTAAAACACACACGTACGCTCATGCTGCTTAAGAAACAGAGCTGCAGTGTTTTTTGTCAATGAGCCAATCGACATGAAAAAAAGTTGAAGCGCAGTTCAAACATCGCTGGAGGAGGACTGCAGATTCCACTCGAGCTTAATTGTTCCACACGTCACATATTATATGACTCGTTATTAAAAACAAGAGCGGAGTTGAAATAAAGTTTAATAATGGCTCAAAGCACAGGCAGAGTTTTAAATGGCAGCGTGGACGAGAGACATCAGCCTCAAGTGGCGAGTGGATTTTTAACCATTGCTGGGACCACGCTGCACGCTGCAGCCTCAACCAGCTGGGAAGAAAATTAATAATATCGTGTAATGAAGTTTGACTTGAGTGAACGTGTTTGGCTGCAGGATGAAGTGAATTAGCCGAGCTGGTGTGTGCGGAGGATTTCACGTACTTTTTAACTGTTTCCTGACGGGCTTATTGGGATCCAGCCAGCGCTGTAAAATATTGATAGAGAGACACTTAGAGACACCATGAAGTATGAACACACAACTTCAATTATTTACCAGCAGCCACACACACACGCACAGTGATCATTACTCGCAGGCAGACATGGTTTAATTTCATCACACTAGCCCTTAAACAAGCTCTTATCAACTCCCAACTTTCCCAACAAAATACAGGATCAGATTATCTCTTTTCCATCAGCACAGTTTAAATTTGCTTTACATGAAGCACTTCTTTAGTAAACACATGTGACCTAACTTACCAAAAAGTCAAACTATAATGAAACTAGCTAACCGAGTAAGGCGGCAGGAGGCGGGTTTGTCGTGTTTTAAAGATCAAATGTAATTCTGTTAAATCCCCTAAAAACACAGCACCATTAAACTGATACTGGTTTCTCTCAGGCGTGCTTCACAGAGACCGGTCGGCAACCTCCTGGCAACGACTGGTTGCTAAGGTAAAGTGAGCATTCCGTCACTGGCTGCTAGCAGTCGCTAGGTGAAATTGGTTGCTAAGAGACATAAGATGCTGCACTAAAAACTCTTTTGTGATTTCTTTGGCTGTTATCAGATCGTCATTGGGTTGTCATAGCAACTGTTACCGTACTTTGCATGACTATTTGAATGTTAAAGTGAAATTTGCACCTTTTTAAACGTGTTGGTCGCAGCAGTCAGGTGAACTTTTACTTTGAAGGCAAACCTTCTGTAGTGCTAGTCTTTAAAGACTAGTCAGCCACAGCAATCTGCAATCGATCAAAGCAATCGTGAGGAGGATTTTGGTGCAGCGCCTTCTTTGCAATCAATGTTACACAGTGACAGCCAGAAACCACTCACCACAGGTGTTCAGAGTGCCCAGAGGATCACAGAGGATCAGTCTATTGGCCTGCGAGACTCAAACTTCAGGCTGATAAAGTTTAATTTGTTGCTGATCTTTACCCAGCAACACATTGCATAGTTTCAGTGCCCATCAGTGCTCCACAGAAGTGCCGATCCCTGAGTGAAAACAGCTCACCCACTCAGAGTTAAAAGTGCTTCTGACATCTAACATGATGCAGATGGAAACGACACTAAGATGCATTCATTGTCCACACAGCCACACACACACAGCTGTCATACTAACTGGTGCATCTGATGAGTCGTCAGTCAGGTGCAGGCCAAAGTAGTCCCTCTCGGTCAGCTCCAGGTGCTTGAAGACAGCATCCAGAAGCACCTGGCCATTATCCGACTTCTGCAGAGAACAAAGGAAAACACGGTCATCCACGCTGAGCTTTATTTACTACCAACATATAATGATAGACAAAAGTTGTATACACGATCTCCTTGATTCACCTTCCTGGAAACGGGTTTCATGTGAGAGTCACTGATGTTGACAGGTTTAAAAAAACAAAACAAGAAACAGAAACTACCCATCTGCACTCAAGCTTCCACGAGACTTCAAGATAAACATCAGTTTCAAGCGAAGTGGTGAGCAGGTTTAGTTTACAGATGGTTTCTGATGAGGATTAAGGAGGAGGAAAGGGGATATTTCTCCCTAAACACAGAGTCCACAGAGAGCCAATTAAAAGGCTGTAAAATGTGAGAAATCACTTAATATCACATCATTTCCTGAGAAAACAGCGAGGGTGAGAGGAGAAGCCACGGGATCACAAGTGGGGCAGAAAGTCACACCTGATCTGCTGCAACTTTATGAGGAGGAGGCAGGGCACAAATGTGTGGCTCCATCAGAGGTCCCATGGGAGAACACACACACACACACACACACCCCTTTGCCCTGCTGACACAGTTTTACAACGCACTGTTTGTGTGTGTGTGGGGCAAACAGACAATGTTAGCTGACAGTTGACATGTTGACATGGCAGCCCTCTAGGACAACTTGCATGTGTGCAATCTACTAATGTCAAAACCTTGTTATGTGTGAGTTGCTGGTGTACTGAGAGAACTGGTGACTTTTTGGCCTTCAAGTCACACTCAGGTGAACACAAAAAATTCAACATGGCTACATTTAAGAAGAGGAGTGCTACTCCTAACTGTAACAACTAACTGTTGTTTACTCTAGTAGCAAATTCATATTTCACTGTGGAAGGCGTCAAACGACCCTTTTGTGGCTGCTGTTCCTCTAAAGCCCACCTGAGGCTGCCTCCCATATTAAAGAGCCCAGATTGACATCACCGATAAACACGTTTATAGAAACAGCTTTGCTACCAATAATGCATTTACCCTTCATCGCAAGTCTGCAGGGGTGATCATTTTTGCCATAACTCATCTGCTAACAGGCAGACGCATCCTGGTTTTAGCCGATAGCTGCCCGAGTCACCGAGCCGGACCTCATCCCTGCTTTCTGGAGCATTTTTCAAATGACACATGCTGTTGTTACCTGTGAGGTTAACACCACTAAAGGCCCAAGAAGACAGTGCTGCTGTTTTGTTGACCAAGTTTCTCACATTTTCCTCACTAGCATTAATTAGCCGGTATATTTGGAATTCTATACTGTTAGCTCATCTGCTAGCATCACAACCATGTCGAGGAGTGATGCCGAGATGCTTTATATACAAACTCAGCTCAGCATGCACGTATTTTGAGAGTTGAAAGAGAAATGGGAGACTGCAAAAACCGAGACGTCTCCGATTTTAGCGTCTCCCTGATTATAAAAGGCTAGCTGGGAGGTTAGCTATAAAGAGCTTGATGCAGGCGTCAACACAAAAGGAGGAAGGGCACAAGCTAGCGCAATGGTTCTGAAGTATATTAGTCACATGGGACACCTTCACTTCTCATAGCCTTATGACTCAAACTCGTACTGAGGTAACTGCGCCCAGCTGCTTAGAAAACGACCAACGCTAGCTCCCAGTACCTGTGATTTTAATATGAAATATGGGCTAAACATGGAAGAAAAGTGGGATGTCCTTCATCCATACTTTGTCTCTTCCTGAATTCATGTGTTAACCAACAAATGAAACATGTTTTCCTCAAAATCAAACAAAGTGTTCTTAGTGTTGATGGACAGGCTGACAGATGAGGTCGGGCAGGAGTCTCTGGACTATGATGCGTGCAGACAACACTGATCTGCAGTGTGCATCGGGAGCAGGTGGAGCTTGAAGAGGTGGAGGTATGCACTAGAGAGAGGAGGAAACAATCCAAAGCAACTGTGGTGAACAAGAGAGTACAGGCAGAGTGGAGCTGGAGGAGACGAGTGTCTGGGGAGCAGCAGGAGGTACAAGATGGCTGTGATGTATGGTTTGGAGACGGGAAGAAAATACAGGAAGAGAAGAGGAAGCGCTCAGAGGAGGTTCATGGATGTAGTGAAGGAGGACAGAGGATGCTGGGGATGGGGTGAGATGGATGCAGATTGTCTGCTGTGGCGACAGATGAAGGGAGCAGCGCTTCATCAACATCAAGGTTCTTACATTTCCCTTCCATCATCACCACACCTTAAATTTCAAAAAATGGGGCATTTTAAATCTCTATTAATGCCTCTTTAAATACATTAGAAGGGCTTTTGATATATACTATTTTTTTTTTTAGGATGCTTTAAAGTATCTGGTGGAAACTCCAAGTGCCTGAAAAGTCTGATGATTACAGCCAGCTGACAGCGGCTAACCGAAAGAATGAGGAAGCTAGCGATGCTAGCCTCTCGTGTGACACTTTCCTTCGGAGGCTCTTGATAAACGTGTCTGCTGCCTCCATGAGAAACTCTGTGTGTACGCTTCTCCTTTGTATGAAGCAGCTTTTCAGCTCGATGTGGGAGCCCTCTGTGCACTTTTACACTGCAATCCCAGGAAACCCATCGCCTGTGTGTGAGCGGGCATGCTTGCCTTTTGTGTGTATTCCTGGCTCACTTTTAACAATGTATGTCTGTTTGCTCTCACAGCAATCGCACATTTGGCTCGTACGCTTTTAGAATACCAGAACAGACTAGCACCAGCGTGTACACACACACACACACACACACACACACACACACACACACACGCTTCCTCTGGACTTTTACGCAACAAGCTACACAGACTATGGCAACAGCAGCTCCATATTCTGGATAGTTCATGTGGCAGTTCTCCATGAGACACGAGTCAGAAAGAGCAGAGAAATGCAGAAAGACTTTCAAAGAAAAGAACGAGAACGCAAACGTAAGAAGAGAGAAAGTCACTGAGAGGGAAAGAGAGAGGGAGCATGGAAGAAGAGACACGGAGTGATTGACGATGCGGCCGGGTGAGACAAACCCTCTTTGTGCCCTTCACCCGCACCGCGGACTGAAACAGTGTCTGTGTGCGTGAGAATGAAGAGAGAGGAAGGAGACATGGTGATAGAGAGCAATCAGAGCACAAGAGATTGGCTGAGAGCAGAGGAGGGGCAGAGAGCGCGAGAGAGGGGGGGGAAAAAAAGATGCTCTGATAAGTTTGTCACCCCGAGGGGTTCATCTTCAGAGTTGGAGGGGAGCGGACCATCGAACATCAAACACTCGGGGGAAATTCCACTGTTTTATGACAGGTTAACAAAAAATGTCACATTTTTATTGAAGTCCTTCCACAGGAAACAACTGAGTGTGTCAATGTGTGTGTGTGCATGAGCGTGTATTCATATCTTTGTGGGGACCAAAAATAGGACGTTTACTATACTTATGGGGACCAGAATCCCAGTCCCCACGAGCTTGAAGGCATTTTTGAGACTCCAAATGGGGTTTTAGTGACGGATTACAGTTGGGTGGCTTTCATCTTTCATGGTTAGGGTTAAAGCTCGGGAAAGCATTACGTCAATTAGATGTCCCCACAAGACGGGTGTGTGTGTGTGTGTGTGTGTGTGTGTGTTAAAGAATGACGGGATTTCAGGAAGTATGAGGCAGCTTGTCCAGGCAGGAAAGGAACAACGTGAAGGTGGAGGCGCTGACATCTATAGCCGTTTTCCTTTTCCAGTAAACTCAGCACAGACTTTCAGGATGAGAACCGAGGGACCGATCTGTGATCTCTGCACGTCCGTCCACCTCGCTGAATGAGCAGCACCAGCTCTCGTTTAATACACCCGAGTCAACGCCAAAAAGCACGACGGCATTTGATGCACAACGGAGGTGAAAACTCGTCTGACCAAACAGTGATCTTCATTTTAAAATTAGTGGGCAGCCTTGTTTTGCTAATATTGATTTTAAACAGCCCTAAAACAAAGGACGTCATGCTAAGGCCAAGAAACATGCGAGAGCGCACACGTATAGCACATCCTGCCCACACATGCAGTGTGACACCTCCCTCACACCTCCCTGGTTTCTAAGCAGCGTGGTTGCATTCACTATTTTGGCTCTTCCAGTCACAGAGGTGGAGCGAACCGTTTACTGTTACGCTCTCATTTTTCTCACCATCGAGCATAACCAACTCCATGAAACTGTCAGCACTACAACAACACATGCAAATTCTGCTGTCCTGTCGTTGGCTGCAAAAACCAAAACACACGGAGGAAGTGAGAAGTCAAGAGCGAGTGGTTGTTCGCTCCATCAGAATAAAATCTCCAAGCTCATCGACTCTTTTTGGCTCCACAGAGAAAACTGATCAGGAATCAAAAATGACGCATTAATAAAAGAACAGGAATCGCTTCAGAAGGAATTTAAGGGGATCTCTTAAACAGAAACACTGAGTCAATAGAGTCCCATTAAAGGAAAAAAGAAATACAATAACTGAAAAGGGGGAGAGGTGGCAAAAACTCTGCTTGGCCTCTAAAATCCCAATATAAAAAAAAAAGAAAAGTGCAGTTACCAAGCTGAGCTCAATGATGGATCTACACAAACGTCTGGGGTTAAAGAAGCACACTCCAGTCACGCCTACAGCTGGTTCAAAATGAAACACGTAAATAAAAAGAACAATCACACCTGTCGTGGCGGCGCTTCACTGCCTGCATGTGCAGAGTCCATGTCAAAGTTTCTGACCAACAGAAACAAAAGTCCAAGCTCAGAGGGGGCGGAGCCTGTCCATTATTCCACCTAGTGTGAGCACTTACTCGTTTTTATTTCATAATCATTTTTATTGTGTGCATACAGCACTTTGTATCTGCCATGCTTGCATTTAAAGTGCTTTATAAATAAAGTGGGTATGGTATGGAATAATGTTGGGCCAATACTGAATGTCCAAGAGAAATGTGAGCACAATAAGCCCCATTTAAAGCCATTTAAATCAGTTGTAGTGGGCTGGGTGCTTCATTGACAAATGCCAGTTCAGCTTTTGCTGTTACATTGAAGTCAGGTCTGCTTACTAGTGTGTTTAAGTACATTTAGTTCACAGGTTCAAGGTTCTTTATTTGTCACATGCATAGTTATACAAGTATAACACACAGTGAAATGTAGCCAAGGACTGCCCTTGTGGTACACACATAAAAAAAAAAAGAAAACAGCAGTAGTGTGTAGCTCTGATTAGCTTGTTTGCAGCAGCTGGCTCTTTTAAAGAAGCAGTTTGATGGTTTATACTTTAAGTTTGTTATTGTACTTTTCTCTTGTAACTGGTGCCTACTGGGCAGATGATCCCAGTGCTATTTCAACTCATCGATCTCTGTATGTAGTACAGCAGTAGAGTAGAGGGATATTACCTAATCACAGACATTTTTGTTTATGAAATATTCAGATGTAGTGATTTCAATGATGCAAACTGGGACACGCGGTGCTTTCTATACATGTGTGACAAACGAAAGAATGACTGTGAGCCTGGGAAAAAAAATCCAGTAACTTGGGTCTTTGTTAAGAGCTGCCTGATTACCAAATAGCTGCTACAGACAGCTGAATATTCATGTTGGGTATTGTGGTTACTTTGGTTCTGCTTTCCTGTGAATTGACGATGCTGCTAACCCTGCTTTTGTATGTGGGGAGGTGGGTTTTCCAAGCACGCATGTGAGGATAACGCGTGATATCATTGTATTTTTCTTTTTTATTAAACGCTGCAGTGGTGACTGACTGATGTGACTGATGGCCGCTGTGGGTTTTGGCCTCATTTTCCACGCAGAGTCTGAACGTAAGGTGAACGCAGATAAAACTGCTTTTATTAGTGATCGTGTTTCCGATGACGACTTGGGTGTAGCTATTACTCAGCAATGAATGCCTCTGGCAGGTCTCTCCTACTTCTGCAGTGGGTTGCAAACTATGAATATGAAATCTGATACCTGCACCGTGCAGGCGTGCAGGATGGAACAGCCCGAAGGAAAAGGAGGAGGCGACCTGATATTTTTCTTCCTGAAAATTAAGTAAGCTGAGTGTTGTTGCTAGGCAGTTTTTAAGTGAGTCTCAATTACGTACACAGATAATGTCTGAAATGTTCTGACTGTGCAGAAACTGTAAGTCCAGGGGCTGTTGTTCATTAATTTATGAAAGTGTGACACATTGACATTTAAAGAGGCTTCTTCCTCAAACTAAATGTGAAACCAGGGCAATTCCACAGTTATTCAAAATTACAAATTAAAACGTAATCATTAAAAAAAAAGGCTCAGCATAAATGCAATTAAGAGACAAAAGTTGGAATAAATATCTGAACGTAAATCTGAATACCCGACCTCCTCGCTGAGTTATTGTCTAAAATACAGTCGTCGCATTGATCGTTGGTGCTTTTCTTGGATTTTCCATCATAAACTGAAGCACAACAAATACAAAACTGACAAGAAATGATGGAAACCAAGCGCTCGATGCTTGAAATTTCATCGACCCTTCCTTAGATGACATTTAAATTACGCTCGGCGCTCTCTAAACCTACAACAATATCTGGAATAACACTTTACACTGATATTATTTCAGCCTACGGCTTTCCATCTATACGATCATCAATACAAGCCCCTCATGTGCCTCCCACAGCCAACCCACACACTCGCACACCACGAGCCCCCACGGTTCCCATGACAATAAGAGGCTGCTTCTGGATTTTCACTCTCCGCCGGAGTCACGGCCAGTCGGCCACAGAGAGGATCAATAGAAGTATTGTTGCTCTCGGGATGGCTTGTCCTTCCAGGAAGTTAGTGCTGCTGCGGGGGCCTGATCAATGAAGCTGGCAGAGAGGCCGACAGAGCTCACGCTACATTGAAGTTCTCACATTCGGCTAAGCTTGAACACACAGACGGTCTTTTACATACATGGCTCAGACTCATCTGCATGACAAGAGTGACAGGAAGTGAACGAGCAGTTACAAAGTAGCGTGGAATAACGCACAGAGTAAAAAGTACGACTTCATTATCACATCAGCACTCATCAGATATAATGTTCATATTGTCATTCGTGCTTTTCTTTCAGTAAACACAAATCTCAACACTAACAGGAAGTGATGTGTCTGAGAGGATGTTATTAGAAGAATTGCGCTGTGACTCAAAGGGAATTTCCCGACTGACTTTGTGTCTCTCTGTCACGGTGCTCGGTCAGACGGAGAGAGCCGTGACAGACGGCCGTAACATCCGTCACAAGCTGGCTCGTCACCTGGTCTGAAGCGCACGCACCGCGCTCGCTTACAGACACCCTGCTTTATTTTCCCCTCGAGCTTCGCCTGCGTGAGACCGAATGCTTGTAAAGCGAGATAAAGACCGACTGATCAACCGCTGAGATCAAACCTCAAAGCCAGAAATGGAACAAACTGAAGCCAGTGGGACAAGTGAAACCCTACCCATTAGTATCATCAGAACACAAGAGAAAGAGAGAGAGAGAGAGAGAGTGGGCTGCGTTTTACATGTCTGCCAATGTGTCGAAACACAAGGGATTTTTTCCCCCACCGACTCTCAGATGAATCTGAGGTGGGCTTGAGGGGAAATTCACAGTAACGGAAAAAGGTATGTAGGAAAGTTGGTCTGAGAGAAAGGGGAAGGGGTTTGATGCTGGTAGTTTTCAATTCTAAAAAAAGAAAGAGCAGACGAGACCACTGTCTTCATCAGATCATCTCCATCTGGGAACAATTTCAGTGTTATTGAGAAAACACTTAAAAAAACAAACAAAAAACAAACGTAATGTTCTGTCATGTGCTTTTAACTCGCACACGCAATTGAAACAAGGCGGTTGGGACTGAAGGGGGTTTACTTACATTGACTTTGAAGGCCTGGACTGTGTTGTCCAGCAGCAGTACGTTGCACACAACCTGTGTGTGCTGCCTGTCTCGCTCCAGCTCAGTCGCCCGGACATTGTAGGATCTGCCAGCAGGCAAGCGGAAGCGCGCGCTCATCACGCTCCTACCAGGGTCTGCAACAAGAGAGGACACAGCACAGAGGAGAAAACGATGAGTGAGAGCAAAACCAAAACGGGGCTCGATCAGGGTCCAAGCTGCCAAAGATCTAAAATTGCCTGTAATGAATGCATAACACCACGAAACTTAAGGTGCGCTTTAGGGGACAAAAACCTCTTTGTTCAAGGCTCGATCCATCTACAAACAGATGCACAATACGGCACGCAGCGACGGCAGCCGCGCAAGCCCGTGCAAGCAGGTCGAAGCATCGGCGAGCGAGTGTTTCATGGGAAAAGAATGTCAATACGCAAGCAGCAGATTCCCTGCCAGGGTGATGCGGCGCAGCCCGCCACCTCAAACACTCACGGGACAACCCAGGATGACACATTTTATTATTTTAAGAGGCAATTAGACTTCGTCAGTGAAGAATAATGCAACAACCGGGGCCATGCTGTCCTGTTTATTACATGGAAGCTTCAAAAACCACAGCACACATGTTGATATCTTTCCAAACAAAGAACATTTCAGTTTTAATCTTAACGGGGAGAATTAATGCAGCACGCTGTTAGCACACTGTTAGCACGCCGCTATCTAAAACAAAAAAAGGCGCCCTGTGACGGCAGAGCACAGCTGAGTAGGTGCAGCTCTCACTGTGTGAAATGTGCAGACACACTGCTGATG